ATAAAGACTCTATAAATCATACATAGTTTAGGAAAAACCCTGCTATATATAAATGTCTAGGGAGAGATTTATAAGGCAAATAGACCATTAATTCAAAGTAGAAAAAGCAAACTTTGAAAAGAATTTGTAGTATTTTAAAATAGAGTTTTATCTGAAGACCAACAAATGATTTTCAGACATAAAAACTAGTCCTGTGTAAAGTTAACATACCATTTAAGGAGCTGGAGTTCAGATCCAGAGAGACCATATCCATTCAAATTGGAAATCAATCTTAAACAGGTAACTGAAAGGAACTGACACACTGCCTTTTAATTCAAGAGCAAACCCAAATCTTGCAGTGGGCCTGTCCTTGGCTCTCTTATTCTGGCTTACAGGAGACAGAAATGTCAAGTTGCAGATTTAGGGAAGACATTTCTGTTTACAGTCTGCACTGGGAATTGGGTGACATGTTCTTCTAGTTAGCTCTATAGCAGCCCTGTCACTTCATACTTTTTTTTCCCCAAGTGATGGCACCTCCAATCTAATTAACCCTGCAATCAGGTCTGATAGAAACTCTAATGCAGTAAGAAAGCATTATCCATAGATGGAAAACATTCCCCAGAGGAAATATATGCACGCAAGTAACACAGCACCACCACCAGAGCATTGAAAGTTCCTATAACAACCGAGATACCCTTTTGAGAGTACATGTAGTTTAAAGGGTACAGTCTCTAATCTACAAAACCATTGAAGTACAGTGAAAGAGTTGAGAGGAGCAAAGACACAAGAAGTCTTGTCTAAATTGGACCTTTGTTATAGCACCTGACTCCCTTTATGAGAAATCAAGTTGTCCTCAGTGTTCCAACCACGATTGTTGGAACTAAGCACAGTGTTTCTAATTTATTTCCAGCTATTCTATTTCTGCCTGTTCATAATAAATCTGTAAGTTACTTCTAATTGGCATAAAAATCATTATTGCACAAAACCACAGATTAATGAAAAATCCATCAGGGTAGAAAAAAACCTGGAGATTTGAGGTTTCCTTGTAAACTGTTTCTTCTTTATTTTTCCAATCTACTGATTGTGATGAAACAGACAAAAGATACAAGCTTTTAAATGGACCTCTTAACACTTAGCTTCTCCCAGAACCAAAAGGATGATTCATTGGTGGTTTACTGACAAGATTTAGGGTTTAAGACTTAGTCCATTTCAGGTCATAAAGGGGCGTATGGAACCAGCAATAGACTTAAAAAATATATTCAAGTTACTATGATGCATCTTCCAATTACTCATGGAAATGGCACCAGTAATAAGAGAGTGAAAATTATAAATAATCCTTTGAAACTTCTCAGGCACATGGATCAACATTTCTCAGGCTGAGAACTCAAGCAATTTACCAAAATTCAAGTTAAAATGATTTCCATTCGTTTTTCAGTAACAGTTGTAGTGACCTCTTGTAACTATTGGACTTCATCAGGGAAAATAGACGAAGTCTAGAACTTTAATAAAGTCTTCTGAAGATGACTTTCTTGCTACTGTTTAAAAAATCTTTGATTTGCAATTTAAATCATTTGAGAATTGAAGCCTTAAAATACTCAATAATGATTAATTTCTTCTGTGAAGAAATAGCACATTAACGAACAATGACCTAAAGTGAATTCATCAATAATCATTCCTAAAATTAGTAATAAATTACGGTTACATAAAAATTTCCAAGCTGAACTGTTCTCTGACAAAAGCATGTTGAAAATTTAGCCTACCTGCCTTTTGTCTCTCACTTCCCCACCAAAATAAGCATATATAGGTTTACCTACATTCTATGCGAGTGGAATCAATTTAAGATGAATCTCTTGAGGTAGTCTCAAAATGAAAAAGAAGTCCAAATGACTCAGAACGGAATTGTCAAGTGGAGTGATCTCATGACAGCCTAATAACTGGAGGAAGTCTATGATTAGGACCTTCTGATATATGCAGTAACTTGATATTTAGTTTTCTTAAGTGAACCACGCAATCCATATTTGGAAATCATTTGTAAATTTGAAATTACTTTTAAATTTACTTTATGGGTGGGATGTGACTAGTATGTAAACGTCACCAGTTTCACATTTCACAGCAAAATTCATTTACTGAGCTTTTAGAAAATTAAGACACTTAAAATATCGTTGAAAGAATTCTCATTCATCTCTTGTGTGCACCTAACTTTCATTTTATACCATCTGTCCTGCCTTTCTGAACTAGTCCTCATCTACAAAGCAGATATGAGAAAAGATAAGCAATCAAAATATGATTTATGGTGACAAGTTGACAGTGTTTCTACCATTACGTACACATATAGTCCTTTTGGAATTGTTTTATCTATCATATCAGATCATTTGTGCATCCTTGATTATTGTGAAGGTATTAACTTTCCAGTGTGTAGCTTGAACTGAAAGACTGTTTTACATACAAACTTCTATTACTTAAGAATAATCTAAATCCCTTTTTAAAAATTTAGCTATTCTAATTAATATACAGTTCAGCTTTGTATTACCAGCAAGTTACACATATGTGAATATTTAATGTGTAAGTAATTTGTACATTTCTTTTCAACAAAAATAAGTTAGGATGAGAAAATAAAGCAAAAATACAGCAAGATTAGGAAAATAGGTGGAAACCAGAAGTGAGTTTGCGCATAAATTTCAAACCTCAGAGTCTTATATAGGTCTGTCAATAAGCTGTTTGAGGTCATATAAGAATAAGAAACACAATCGGTTACATGGTTAATTGTCCCTAAATTAAAATAGATAGATGTTACATGAATGCAGTTTTTCAGAGGTGGGATTTTCAAGGGCTAAGTGTGTTGTTTGTGGTCAGCGAGTAACATTCTTAACTTCCCATAAGTGAAAAATCTGGATTATGTAAATTATTTCTCATTTGATAACCCCACAAATTTCCTTTAAAAGGTTACTGAACTAACGCAACAGTCTCAATGTGCATTCTTGTCTTTATTTAGGTTGCTTATTGTCTGAGAAGGCATTGCTTACAAACTACCACAGGATCCTTAGTAGTGATTTTATACTTGAGAGCTTCTTTCCAGTGAAACTGTAAAATGTGAAATCCAAAAAGACAAAGAAGCAGACTTGTACAGTCATTTATTTATGAAAGCTCTTTGAGTTTTTCGAGTACTGTTCATTTTGTTCTTAGTTTTATTTATAATTAATGCTAGGGTTTTAGGTGAAGAAAAAAATTTTTTAACACACTGGAAAGTTGCTAGATTATTCTCAGGAGCCCCCAGTATAAGACTAAAGCAGCATCACATCCAATCTTGGCTACTTTTAGGCAAATAGAGAAAAGTAGGAAGACTTAGTATTGTTCTATATAGGTTGATATGATTTCTTAAGCTTTTATTAGTGGATGGGTGCCTGATATTCATTGGAATTCAAAAATTGTCCCCTCAATGACCTGCAAAACGACAACTTTAAATTCTTTTTCCATTAAGAAAAAAAGTATATCTATTTTTTTATACTTGAATCCTGGTTGGTTTCTAAAGTAGATGATGAAGCATTATACTCCAATGTAATCTTAATAATTCATACTTCCACATAAATGTTAAATAAATGCAATGAAAATGATAGCAATAAAAAGATAAAAGCATTTACTGAGCATTTATTTTGTGCCACTGTGTTAAGCATTGTACTTGTTTTATTTTATTTAATTTAAACAACCACTCAGTACAACAGATGTTCATATTTTATTAAATTTATTGAGGAAGACATAGACATTTGAGCATTAAACAACCTGTCCAAGATCATAAGACTTTTAAGAAACAAATAAGAGAACTCAATTTTCAGTTGGACTTCAGATGATGTATTTCACTACCATGTTATATTCTGCTCTGTCTCACTCTTGAATGGCAGATGAAATTTCTAGGGGAATAAACTTGCCAATGATAGAAGAGGAGAATACTAAAGAGAGACACTGGAAGCTTAGGAAAAAATAAATGTTCTGGACTGGTTTTAAGGTACTTTTAAAGAGAAAGAGTTTTCTTCCTGAAATCAAGACAAAGGCATAGGAAGCTATAGTATGTGAGCCATACCCGTGTAAGGAGCTATATCCAAACCTTGTGAATTATTGGATTTTTTTCATTCTCATATACCTTTATACAAAGAGGAAAAATATATATACACACACAATTCAAATGTAGAATAGACTGTGTTGATGTTTTATGTCTCCCCTGGATATGTTATGTGATAGAATGAATTTTTAGCCTACAATGCTATGACTTGATTAAAAGGGTATTTTCCCCTTGTTGCTATTCATGGTATTCTCCCATGAATACATTTCCCTTACTGGTATGCAGCAAGGTATCCCCAGCATATGATGTTTTCTTAGTGTTTTATTTTCTAAGTCCTTTGTGGAACACCAGCAGCCCTAATGTCTCTTTCTTTTCCCTTAAGCTTTATGGTTTGTTTTTCCTGACGCTCAGTGTTACATGGCTGGCAAGCAGATAAACAGTCTTGCCTAAGTTAGATAAGATGTTTACAAATAAAATGATACCATGAGCTGTAATTAAATAATGCCCAAGGGTCAAAGTAATTTCATTCTTCATAATAGCTGCCTTACTCAAAATGAGAATTCTCAAGTGTAAACTGTGCTGTAGAAGATGTATCCACTTACAAAAATTTTCTTCTAGATTTAAAAGTGTAAAATTTGACATCTGAAATATATTTACATATTTGTCTTAGTAAAGTAATATATTTACATATTTGTCTTCATTTCCCCCTGTCTTTTCTTTGAATCTCATCTTAAATCTTATTAGTGATAAATTTGAGGAAAAAAGGAAGACATTTTACCATACATATTTTACTGTATTTCTTCCATTGTGTCTTGATGACAACTTTAATTGGTAATTTGCATTTTTAAAAACAAGCCTAAAAATCTTGTAAATCTCACCTTGAAAATGTACAGAAATAAATAGAGGAGAAGTAGCAGCAGCAGAAGAGGAGAGAAGTGAGATAATGCGTCTTTGCCTGTCTTTTTAGATGGGAAAGTTGAAGTCACGAAAGAAGGTGTGAAGCTGTGTACCATGGGTCCAGGAAAAGTGTTCGGGGAGCTGGCCATCCTCTACAACTGCACCCGCACGGCGACCGTCAAGAGTAAGACCGTTCAAATATTTCCCAAATGTTTTCAGTATCTTCTTTCTCTAGACCTGTGAGATGCTGATTTAAATAACTATTGATTTAATCTTTGCACCTTTTCGCATTCTAAGTTTTGCCTTGTGGTACAGTTACAGTGTTTGCTTTGCTACCAAAGAGGCATTGCATAATTTACATTTTATTACTGGCTTATGAAAGTTATCTTTTTATGCAAAAATTCTCCTAATTAAGGTTTTAAATGGCATATCTTATAAATTAGAGTAAACCATGAGTATGACCTTTGCTTTTCAGCCTGCAAAGTCTCAGAATCATTTTACAGAAATTTTTACATGTCTGTCTTAGATTACATTCCCCATTTAAACCACACTTGTTGACTTAGTGGTTTAGAAAAAGAGAAAAATATCCTTCATCTCATTCAACTATCACTGAGTAAGATATATCCTGAATTCTAAAATGGCATCTGAGTATATTTTTGTCTTCAGCTGCTCATCAAGCTGTAGAGTATAGCATTTTCCTTTTCTACTGATTAGCTTATTTTAAATCGGGTAATAAAGAGGCTTGTTTCCCTAATTTTACATGTATGTGTATGTATGATTTCTGGTGCAACTTTTGTTGCTTTGTAAAAGCAGCTGCAATAGTTAGACAAAAAAAAAAATTGCTTGAAAAAATTCTTCCTGAGTAAGGATATGACTGTATAACAATCAGAACTGAGTGCAAAAGCCAACCATGCGATGTTAATTGGATATGTAGGCAGACTTGTCTACTTCATGCTTGAAAAATCTTTTTTGCACATTATCTTATAGATGTTTTTAACTATAATATACTTTTTGCTAGGTTTTGTTGTTTTAAAAAAACTGCAACTGGCAAAATGACCAATTATTAATCTCAATTAATTTTATATGGATGTCACTGGCAAGTATATATATATATATATATTTTTTTTTTCCTCTCAAAAGTACAATGTATGACTAGCACCATGATATTGAAAAATGGATGATAAAGAAATCAAGACTGTGTGGCCATCTGGAGTTCCAGAACTGGTTTTACTTGTCTTGTTAATGAGTCATCTATATATCACTGAAATTACTATGATGTCAGTTGTACTGGCTGTTTTCAGATGGGTCCATCATGGCATTTGATTCATGATCTCAGGAAGGAAAGGATTGATTTTTTTGGTTGGTAGGCTTGAAATTTTTGACTTCCCATGACCACTTAATTCTGAGTCAAGGCATAATGAGGTCCAGTGATCCACAACAGAATCTGCCACAATTTTAACATATAAAATGTCTTGTATGGATAATGACTTTATTAAGTTTATATTAAATATGTTAAGTAAAAACTTGTTAAATAATTAACAAGTTTTACTGTTATGCTTCCTTTTCAAAGAAATATATTTCTTTTCTAGCACATAAAGCAGAGAATGATACATTCTGATTAAATCAGGCTTTCTGAGAATTGTGAATAATGATTTATTGTTTTAAAATAGTTCAGCCTTGTATATTGTTCATGTAATCTACTGGAAATTATCGATATTTAGTATCACTATACCTTTCATTATTAAGTTGAGTGAATTCTTATTAAATATTTTAATGGTTTAAGTAATTTTACACGAAGGATTTTTTTCCCCAGAAGTTGATTAATTGGCTTCACAAAGATCACTTGTAGTATTCAAGTTCTATAATGTGTGTTCATCTTCAGTAACCTTTATATATTCATGTTTGGCAAATTTAAATGGACGCTACGCATCTGATCTAGTAAGAAAAAACTGAGTGTTCAATGCAGATTATAATCCTAACTATTTCAGTGTTCGAAAGTCATAAAAGAAAGTGAACGATGGTGGGTATTTTTAATGCAGACTGAAACACTCAAGTGTGCATCTCTGTGCATATGTGTGAATTTATCTTCGCAGTGCTTGTTTCCCTAATTTCACATGTATGTGCATCACTTAATATCTGGAGGTTGCATGTAGAAAAGGGGCTAGGGTATAAGGTGTGCAAATACATCTTTGCATTTACAGCTGCAGATGGGTAATGGGCAAAGAATGATGCCTGTGAAGAACTTTTCTTCTGAATGCTGTGTGAGAACCAGAAGTTGTGAATAATGATTATTGTTCAGGACAGTTTTGTCCTGTCTTTTCTACTACCCAGGGAAATGGGACCTGTGACTGTGGGTCGTAAATACCATTTTTCTGTAGGTTTAAATTAAAACTTCAAGCTGACCACTATAATTCTAACCGGATTCCATTGTAAATACTACTTGTACAGAATGACTATAGTGTGTAACCCTATTTCTATCTTATTTTTAAACTTATAGGACTATATAGTTCCAATAACTTTTCAGTATTCAAAAGTACATTAATCTGTTCATTTCTTCCCTATCATTTTGTTGGTGTGGGCCATTTGGTGTGTCTTTCAAGTGATTCACTAGGTGTACTAGTCTGAATCTGGGTAGAATTCCCTTCCTGCATAATGGTTTACTTTCAGTGTCTTTCTGTGTCCTATTGCCAAGAGCTGTGCCCTTCATTACTCTAATCTTTGTTTTTTTGAAATTTTTTTTACCATGTTTGCAGAACAAAATGATTGCATTCCTCATGAGGAGTTGCCACATGTACATAGCACATCTTATTTCTTTTTTAAAAAATTTTCTCCACTTCCCTTCCTTTCCCCCTCCCTTCATTTCTTAGTCCCCATCCTTATTAAAAAAGATATATCAATTGCCTATTATCTGTCATTTATTTTCTTCCTACTTTATATTTCGATTCTTTTGGAGAAACTGTAATATTTAAGCTGTATGTCTGATTTATATCACTTAGCTTGATGTTCTTAAGGTGCTTCTGTTTTCCTGCAAATGATTCAAGTTTATCCTTTTTCATGGAAACACAATACTCATTTTTTCATTATTATAAATATTGGTGATTCTTTCTTCTTTCTCCTGAGTTCAGACTGAAGGATCTTTAGTATTTTAATGTGCTTGTAATCTCATGGTAGTAACTAGATTCTAGGTGGCATGTGAACAGTATTCATTGTACACGCACTATTTGTTATTCAAGAGAGTACTTTTTAAAATTGTATCAGGCCATGAATAAATTTCAAAAACTTCCCTAATGATGAATATGATTACACCAATTGTGAGTTTTCTACCTTAGGATATAAAAATAATTGTATTATGCTCTAGAGATCATTATACACTATAAAATATGATAAATTTGTTCATAGTGATCCTGCTGAAAGAAGAAACATAGTAGCCTGCAGCACGCTCTTTTTTTAAAAATAAAGTATAAAAAGTTAATATTCATTCTTCTGGCAATAAATAAATGTAAAGTACTGGTGTTCTAGTAATAGGAGAAAGACCTGATAACACCAGGAAGAGTAATTTTGAAAAATAAAAGCCACAGTGATATGGAAAGAAAAAATCATAGTATGATATAAAGAATCCATTTTTTAAACTCATGTCTTACGAAACAACATCATTGATTTTCCCCTGAGGAATGAAGATGTGAAAATACATAAAATTAGCATTATATTGGAAACAGAAATCTAAAAGCTGTCTGGAAGTCATTTGTGGCTTCAGTTGCCTCAAGGTATTTTTATTAACTATGATATTCAAATTGTCTCTTAGATTGTATTCACCCATAAATATGTGCAAATTTCATGGCAAATAAAACAATCAGATGTTATTCTTGGTTTCCAAAATGCCAAATAATTGATGTCTTCTATTTGTTTGAATTTCTCACAGTTCGTTCAAATAATCTGGTCTTCTAGGCTCTGAATTTTACGATTCATTTTCAAGCCCCATCATGAGCAGGAATATACACATGTTGATTCACCCTCTTTTGCATACTCAATTCCCATACTGGAAGCAGGTTATTGCCATTTTTCCTTAAAATGTCTTTGCTGGTTGTGATATCATGTTTACTACCTTCCCCGGTAAATCATTATCAACTTGCAGTTAGCCTGGGTCACTCACCTTGTGTTTCTGCTCACAGGTCTTCCAAATAGCAAAAATAGAAAAGTTGCACTTACTGGAAATCTAAAAATGAAAAGGCAAAGGCATTTTGTTTCTTTTAAGAGAGAGATTCACTTTTCCAGTGAATTTGAAGAATTTTTATTCTACTGTTTTGTTTTTCCTGGGTTTACTACTATAAGTTTTCAAAATTATATATGGAACTTTGTATGGCTCAGGTTACAAACGAATTGAGGAAATTTTGCTGCAAATACTAAATTGAAGCCTTGTTCATCTTAGGTTGAATTTCTAGCTCACCATGTCCCAAACTTTTGTAATGTATTATTCAAGTCACCCCTTTTAATTTCATTCCAATTAAAAACTCAAGACTAAAAAAGTAGTTTGTAGGAAAAAATCTTGATGCTAGGTCATGTTGATCTCTGTAGAAAGCTACCTGCCAACTATGCCCATTTTCATGTAGTAGAAATTTTGTGAAGCTATATAAGCAGTATAGAATTATTATTTCACTTTAGACTATTTATAACAAGAGCTTACAATTTCCATTGTATTAAAATACACCAGTATTGACACAACAGAGACTAAATAAACTATCTTTTAAAAATCAGGCAAATTGATGATTTTATTCACATCTGGTAAAAAATATTTTCTTGTCTCAAATGGAATATTTTCCAAGTTTTACACTTAAGCTTTCATAGAAAACGGTAAAGGGTAAGTTGACTAATTAAGATATTTTAATAAATGTGATAGACATTTTCAGAATGCCTAAAATTGAAATGTCTATCATCAAAATTTAAAAGTTAGATTTTTCTGTTTAGTTTTGATTTTAAAATAACTTTGAATGTCTGTAGTTTGTTTCTCTTTCTAACATTACATTATTCAATCTTAATTAAAAAAATATTCCAACCCTCAAAAACCAGAAAAGATCAATTGGAAAAAAATAATAAGACTGGACTAAGCTTTTTTTTTGTTTACTAACTCTATGTGCTATAAATACAGTAGTTCTAATATGCATGATATATATACCATATACACTATAT